CCGGGTACAGATCGTCCTGGAACAGGTCCGACTGCAGGGGGGGACCCACGGGGTGAGGGGGGAGCCCCAAGGGGTACCCGCACTGCGCCCCGCACCGGGAACCCCAACAGCCCCCGGGGTCCTGCACGGGGACCCCCAGCAGGATGAATGGGGACCTACACCCAGGGACCCCAAATGTCCTGCATGGGGACCCCCAGCAGGATGAATGGGGACTGAAACCCAGGGACCCCAAATGTCCTGCACGGGGACCCCCAGCAGTATGAATGGGGACTGAACCCAGGGACCCCAAATGTCCTGCATGGGGACCCCCACCCATATGAATGGGGACTGAACCCAGGGACCCCAAATGTCCTGCTCGGGGACCCCCAGCAGTATGAATGGGGACCTAAACCCAGGGACCCCAAATGTCCTGCATGGGGACCCCCACCCATATGAATGGGGACTGAACCCAGGGACCCCAAATGTCCTGCACGGGGACCCCCAGCAGGATGAATGGGGACTGAACCCAGGGACCCCAAATGTCCTGCACGGGGACCCCCAGCAGTAGGAATGGGGACCTAAACCCAGGGACCCCAAATGTCCTGCACGGGGACCCCCAGCAGGATGAATGGGGACTGAACCCAGGGACCCCAAATGTCCTGCATGGGGACCCCCAGTAGGATGAATGGGGACTGAAACCCAGGGACCCCAAATGTCCTGCATGGGGACCCCCAGCAGGATGAATGGGGACTGAACCCAGGGACCCCAAATGTCCTGCACGGGGACCCCCACCCATATGAATGGGGACCTAAACCCAGGGACCCCAAATGTCCTGCATGGGGACCCCCAGCAGTATGAATGGGGACCTAAACCCAGGGACCCCAAATGTCCTGCATGGGGACCCCCAGCAGTAGGAATGGGGACTGAACCCAGGGACCCCAAATGTCCTGCATGGGGACCCCCAGCAGTATGAATGGGGACTGAAACCCAGGGACCCCAAATGTCCTGCACGGGGACCCCCAGCAGTAGGAATGGGGACTGAACCCAGGGACCCCCAAACAGCCCCCAGTGTCCTGCATGGGGACCCCCATCAGTATGAATGGGGACCTGCACCCAGGGACCCCCAAACAACCCCCATTAACTCCATAGGGACCCCCATCAGTGCACTTGGGGACCCCAAGACCCATGCACTGTTACACCCAGGGACCCCATACAGCACCCACAGGGGCCCCCAAACAGCCCCCATTAACTCCATAGGGACCCCCATCAGTGCACTTGGGGACCCTGAGACCCAGGCACTGTTACACCCAGGGACCCCATACAGCACCCATAAGGACCCCCATCCAGCCCCCATTAACTCCATAGGGACCCCACCAGTGCACTTGGGGACCCCAAGACCCATGCACTGTTACACCCAGGGACCCCATACAGCACCCATAGGGACCTCCACCCAGGCACCCCCAAACAGCTCCCATTAACTCCATAGGGACCCCATCAGTGCACTTGGGGACCCCAAGACCCATGCACTGTTACACCCAGGGACCCCATACAGCACCCACAGGGACCCCCATCCAGCCCCCATTAACTCCATAGGGACCCCATCAGTGCACTTGGGGACCCCAAAAGCCATGCACTGTTACACCCAGGGACCCCATCCAGCACCCATAGGGACCCCCATCCAGCCCCCATTAACTCCATAGGGACCCCATCAGTGCACTTGGGGACCCCAAAAGCCATGCACTGTTACACCCAGGGACCCCATCCAGCACCCATAGGGACCCCCATCCAGCCCCCATTAACTCCATAGGGACCCCATCAGTGCACTTGGGGACCCCAAGACCCATGCGCTGTTACACCCAGGGACCCCATCCAGCACCCATAGGGACCCCCATCCAGCCCCCATTAACTCCATAGGGACCCCATCAGTGCACTTGGGGACCCCAAGACCCATGCACTGTTACACCCAGGGACCCCACACAGCACCCATAGGGACCTCCACCCAGGCACCCCCATCCAGCCCCCATTAACTCCATAGAGACCCCCATCAGTGCACTTGGGGACCCCAAGACCCATGCACTGTTACACCCAGGGACCCCGTACAGCACCCATAGGGACCCCCACCCATGCACCCCCAAGCAGCTCCCATTAACTCCATAGGGACCCCCATCAGTGCACTTGGGGACCCCAATACCCCCCAAACAGCCCCCATTAACTCCATAGGGACCCCATCAGTGCACTTGGGGACCCCAAGACCCATGCACTGTGTTATACCCAGGGACCCCATACAGCACCCATAGGGACCCCCATCCAGCCCCCATTAACTCCATAGGGACCCCATCAGTGCACTTGGGGACCCCAAGACCCATGCACTGTTACACCCAGGGACCCCATCCAGCACCCATAGGGACCCCCATCCAGTCCCCATTAACTCCATAGGGACCCCATCAGTGCACGTGGTGACCCCAAGACCCATGCACAGTTACACCCAGGGACCCCATACAGCACCCATAGGGACCCCCATCCAGCCCCCATTAACTCCATAGGGACCCCATCAGTGCACTTGGGGACCCCAAGACCCATGCACTGTTACACCCAGGGATCCCATCCAGCGCCCATAGGGACCCCCACCCCAGCACCCCCAAACAGCTCCCATTAACTCCATAGGGACCCCCATCAGTGCACTTGGTGACCCCAAGACTCATGCAGTGTTATACCCAGGGACCCCATACAGTACCCACAGGGGCCCCTACCCAGCCCCCATTAAGTCCATAGGGACCCCCATCAGTGCACTTGGGGGACCCCATAACCATCCTGACTGGGGACCCCAAGACCCAGGCACGGTGTTATACCCAGGGACCCCATACAGCACCCACAGGGACCCCCATCCAGCCCCCATTAACTCCGTGGGGACCCCCATCAGTGCACTTGGTGACCCCAAAACCCATGCACTGTTACACCCAGGGACCCCATCCAGCACCCATAGGGACCCCCATCCAGCCCCCATTAACTCCATAGGGACCCCATCAGTGCACTTGGGGACCTCAAGACCCATGCACTGTTACACCCAGGGACCCCATCCAGCACCCATAGGGACCCCCATCCAGTCCCCATTAACTCCATGGGGACCCCCATCAGTGCACTTGGGGACCCCAAGACCCATGCACCGTTACACCCAGGGACCCCATATAGCACCCACAGGGACCCCCATCCAGCCCCCATTAACTCCATAGGGACCCCATCAGTGCACTTGGGGACCCCAAGACCCATGCACTGTTACACCCAGGGACCCCATCCAGCACCCATAAGGACCCCCATCCAGCCCCCATTAACTCCATAGGGACCCCATCCAGCACCCATAGGGACCCCCACCCAGGCACCCCCACCAGTGCACTTGGGGGCCCGCCCCCCCCATTCCCCAACATGGGGCATCCCCCCCTTTCACCACCGACCTTCCTCGGCACCGTCATGATGATGGGCTCACACTTGCGCTCATGGAGCTTGTAGAACCTATGGCGATGGGGACCAAGGGGGTTCCCTGCTGTGAACGGGGGGGGTCCCCCTGTGTCGTGTCCCCCCCCCCCGCCCCACGGCTGCCCCATTGCCCACCTGGCGATCTCGCACTTGCTGACGTCCAACCCGCGCTTGGGCATCCAGCCCATGCCCCGCTGCGGCTCCTTGCTGGTGAAGGTGTTGAGGAAGTGGATGTAGGGAGGCTCCTCCGTGATCTCAAAGTACCGGATGCTCGAGTCCCCCTGGGAACGCGGCGTTATTGGGGGGCGCTGGGACCATAGGTGTGGGGCAAAGAGGGGGTTTTGGTGGGGGGTCCTTTACCTTGCCGCACACATAGACCACGTTGGTGTCGGGGTCATAGAAAGGCAGCAGAGCCCCGTTGCTGGAGTCCAGCTCCTGCAGCCCCATGGGCTCGTCCAGGTTCTCCTATGGGGCAGCACGTGAGCCCTATGGGGAGGAGGGGGTCCCGTGTGTCCCCCCCCCACCCCGGGGGCTCCTCACCAGGTCCCACAGCGCCAGCTGCCGCTCGCTCATGCGGCTGAAGCCGGTGGTGAAGATCTTGCCGTCAGCCAAGAAGATGGCTCGCATGGGGCGAGCCCCCTCGTGGGCCCTCTCCTTCTCCTATGGCGGGGGGGACACGATGGGGTCAGCAGCACCCCATAGCGCACCCATAGGGCATGGATGATAATGAGGTCAGCAGCACCCCATAGGGCATGGATGACAACGGGGTCAGCAGCACCCCACAGGGCACCCATGGGGCATGGATGATAATGAGGTCAGCAGCACCCCATAGGGCACCCATAGGGCATGGATGACAACAGGGTCAGCAGTACCCCATAGGGCACCCATGGGGCATGATGAAGGATGACAACAGGGTCAGCAGCACCCCACAGGGCACCCATGGGGCATGGATGCCAGCGGGGTCAGCAGCACCCCACAGGGCACCCAGGGAGCATGGATGCCAATGGGGTCAGCACCACCCCACAGGGCACCCATGGGGCATGGATGACAATGGGGTCAGCAGCACCCCACAGGGCACCCCCGGGGCATGATGGATGACAACAGGGTCAGCAGCACCCCATAGGGCACCCATGGGGCATGGTGAAGGATGATGATTGGGTCAGCAGCACCCCACAGGGCACCCATGGAGCATGGATGACAACGGGGTCAGCAGCACCCCACAGGGCACCCATGGAGCATGGATGACAACGGGGTCAGCAGCACCCCACAGGGCACCCATGGATGACAACGGGGTCAGCAGCACCCCACAGGGCACCCATGGAGCATGGATGCCAGCGGGGTCAGCAGCACCCCATAGGGCACCCATGGGCCATGGATGACAATGGGGCCAGCAGCACCCCACAGGGCACCCATGGGGCATGATGAAGGATGCCAGCGGGGTCAGCACCACCCCGCAGGGCACCCCCGGGGCACGATGCAGGATGCGGGCACCGCTGTGGGACGCTCCCATGAGGATGCCAGGGACCCATTGGGACCCAAGGTGCGTGTTTAGGGGTCACTCACGGCCACCACGGTGCCGCGGCGCGGGTCGACCACGCGGACGCTCTTGTCCTTGCAGGCGGTGCAGAAGCGGGCGCCGTCGCGGCTCCAGCTCACGCTGTAGATGAGGTCCGGGTGCAGCCCGTCCAGGCGGTAGAGCTCCTCCGCCGTGCCCACGTTCCAGATGAGCACCACGTTGTCACAGCCTTGGCGACCGCATTTTGGGGGTCACCCCCATCCCCGGTAGACCCACACCCCCCATACACACCCCGGTACCCCCGTACCGGCGCTGAGCAGCACGTTGCGGGCAGTGGGGTGCCAGGCGATGATGCCCACGCGCTTGGAGTGCCCCTCGAGCATCACCACCGGCTCCGTCAGCGGTTGGCTCAGGCCGCCCTCTGGGATCTGCCAGACCTATGGGGACAGCGAAGGCCACAGAATGGGGACCCCCTCCACCCCACATGGCACACACACCCCACGTCCCCCCCCCCACATCCTCCCCTCTTTTCCCCCTCACCATAACGGTGCAGTCCTCGGAGCCGCTGGCGATGACGCGGTCGTTGTGGGGACACCAATCGATGTCCAGCACGGGGCCCGTGTGCCCGCACACCGTGGGGTAGGACTTGTCGATGCGGCCGGTCTGCGGCCACGGGGACGTGAGCATTGGGGTTGTTGGGGTTGGGGTCACCTCTAAACCCCATCCCCGCTCCCGTTCCCACCTTGTGCAAGGGGAGGACGAGGAAGGCGCCGCCGCCGCTGGCCT